TCGTTAATTTTTGTCTATACATGTTCCTATACCTAAAATAAATCGTTTTTAAGTTATTTAAGATTTAGTTTAAAAGCGTATATTTTTCTTGATTTTAACCAGTAGCCTATTAAAGTCATAACGTCAAGTGATGTAAAACAATAGATCTGGCCATGTCATATTGTGACGCTTTGTTCAAAGAGCAGCATCACTTTCGAGCCAACTTTGCGCTGTTTTTCTTCGATCATACGGAATATTATTAATAATAAAGGATAATATCAACTACTTATTAGATATCACTAAAGCGCAAAAATACGAGATATTATATATTTTTTAAATACACTTTTTAAACTCTTAACGCAGGCACTATTTATAATATAGGAAATTCAAATAATTCGCTTTCTGACAGATGGAAATAAATTGTCTGACCGTTTGACACTTAATGTCAAAGGAAGCTAGATAAAATCAAGATAAATATACGTTTTCAAATTAAATCCTTAATAACTTAAAAACGATTTATTTTAGGTATAGGAACATGTATTGTTAAAAAGTAACGAATTGAAAAACATTTTCATTAGTGCAATAAAAAAGTGGGTTTCCATTTGAAAAAAAAAAAGATTTATGATAATTTTTTAATCGCTCAATTCCATGACAGCTACCGCCATTGTTCTATGACATTTGAACAATTCAATTTTTGAAATAGATAACCACATGTCTTCTCCTTATGTCACAGTGGCTGTGGTAATCACTAAATTTGACGTTTAGGCTATACACATATCTTTGACAGGCAGTCTTTTTCGTTCAAATATTTTAAATATTTTTTTTCTCAAAACCGGTCAATGTTAGATATAGAGTATTTAATATCAAAATTCAGAAAATTTTACAGAGAATTTAAGTGTGTAATAAAAAATGGGGGCACCCATTTAAAATAAGAAAGTTGCTGTCAACTTCCGGTATTTCCGGAAGTGCCGCCATATTGAAAATATTTTTAATCGATATATCTCGTTGTGAAACTATGATGTGCCAAAAATCTCCGAGCTGGATGTTGTAGTTCTCTAGGAACTTCTAATGTACGCTCAGCCTGGGACACCCTGTATACTTTAAGTTATTTTAGCAAATTTTCAAAAAATCTGCCATTGTTTTGAGTACATAAATTGCTTTATAAAACTAAATTACAAGCTTATCTCAAAGATCGGCCGGTCGAATTTATCAAATTTCTCTCGTATCGCCTCTTGGAGTGCCTCTCTTAATTAAGTTCTTTTGTAAACCTTGTTGTTAACTATACCGCATAAAAAATCTAAAATGGATAGGTCAGAGAATCGAGGAGGCCCATGCAATTGGTCTACCTCTTCCTATTCCTGAGTTTGCATAATTATGATAAAAATCATTTTTTATATTATACAAATATTTCTTTAGTTATGAGGGGGAGTGTTCATAATGAAAGTCATATTCTCTACTCTCTATTGATACGCGAGTCTCTAAATTTAACTTTTCTAACATGTCTTGAAAACCGTTTTCTCTAAAAAGCGTAAAGTAAGTAAGTGTTCACCGGTCAAAAATGTTATGGCCAAAAAAATTTGAACCAATAATCCTACATGCTTTTCTTCATTTGAAAAATTCATATTCACAATTTTTGTTTATTTTTATTTACAAAGCTTGGATGTGGCAATTTGACATCTTTGAGAGCAACGACGATTGAACTTGTTTCCATAACTAAGTGAAATTGTTTAAAAATAATAAGAATTGGCTATAATTCAGTAATTTTTCGAAAAAAACATATTATAGCTTATATCGCTGAAAAGCTTTAAAAATGGCGCTTTTTGTGAAATCATGGCCAACTATGGCTTCCATCGTAGAAAACTCGCCCTGTATACCAATAACAAATATTTGTCAAATATAATGACTGATTCGCAAGTAAAAGCGGACTCTGACGATTCGTGTACTTGACAAACATTTGTTATTGGCATATACCGTATGATCGAAAAAAAATGGCGTCCAGTTGGCTGGGAAATGACGATCGATGACATTTCCCATATAAATTTACATATAAAATGACAGCGATCTTCATTTCATAGCCATCGTTGACGCCGTTTTTTCTCGATCACACTGTACTTGCCATGTCGTGTTTACTTGTGCAATTATTTATCACTCGTCTGAGCCCGGCAATATCTTCTGTATGATTTTTACCTTTTATTATCTCCGCCTTTCCCTTTATCTAATAAATCAAAATCCTCGCAGCACAACTTTGGCATACTTGCTGAACTACCCATTATTCGAAAACCGTTCTATTGTTACACTTAATACTACGATAAGACTGGTAGTTTATTGCTAAAATATATTTACAGTACCACTCACTCACAAACAACACAAACTATTCTGAACACCGGACGTTTATTACACAGTATTTCCACTAATTATAAGAAAAAAAATCAAGACCGTGTCTTTTTGCTGTTCGTTAATCGATTTTTATGTCCTTGTTCCATTATAGAAGATGCTTTATCGGTGTAATATTCAATAAAATAATTTATTATTTAATAATCATCTAGGATTAAATAAATAATTAAAATACCTTAAAAGTATATCCAAAACATTGGTAAAAATAACTTGATAGATAGGTTTAATTTTTAATGCACTACAATATTTACCTTTTAAATGTTTTTCCGATAGCAATATAAAACGTATTGTAACTTTTCTGGGTCATATAAATAATAACTTGATGGCTAAGGTGTTTTAGTATTTTCTATTTTTAGCGGCACCTTGCAAAGAATTAGCAGAATTATATAGAGGTAACTGTAAAATTTTATCCAGAAGTACATTCATAAAAAGGACATATAAATTTATTTATATTTAATAATTTATAATTTTTAATATGAAATTTATTAATATAGTTATATTTAATTTATAATTTGGGCGGGTTCATTTAATGAAAAAGACTGGGACTTTCGCCACTATCCACTATCATCTTTTATAAAAAAGAATCTTAAAAATATAAAGTTATTTTTTAAGTACCATTTGTGGTACCAATGCGTAGAATATAAATGTAAACTGGCTTCAGTCGTCAGTGGCATTACTCGTAAAACAAATCTGAATATAAGCAGAATATCAACGGATTTACTATAAAACTAGATTGTTCTCTAAGTAGTTATATTTAGGAATTTTAAATAGATTGTTCCTGTTTTTGCTTCTGATGAAGGGAGTAATATATGTATACCTCATGTAAGGTTCAGCTTGTTTTTTCAATTTGGTTCAATTTGTAGGTTTTTCAATAGGTTCAATTTGTTTTACAAGTAAAAAGCCACTAACAAGTTAACTTTCTTATTTTTTCAAGGCTTTTTTCAACAAGTATTTATAAAAAGTTAACTATAAATATAAATATTAATTAACTTGTGGCAACTAAGTGGCAAAAAAATAAAATAAATGGTAAAATATTAAAAATCATAATTTTATATAATACTCTCCTTCGCCATATTATCAATAAAATATGAATTCATAATTTTATAAGCTCCTTGGTAAAAATGGTGATAAAAAAAAATGATAATTGACAATAAATATAATATGTTTAAAGTATTTTTTATATATTATATTTTATTCTTTACATATTATATTTTATAATTAAGCTCCTTGGTAAAAATGGTTATGATAATTGACAATATATATAATATGTTTAAAGTATTTTTTATATATTATATTTTATTCTTTACATATTATATTTTATAATAAAAAAAATTATCGTAAGATCGAAAAAAACGGCGTCAAAGACGGCTGGGAATAACAATCGATGGTAATTTTATCGTATGTATCTTATTTGTCAACAAAGACTATTTAAAAAAAATACAAAATTGTAACAGTTTCATTAGTTTCTTTGCTTAAATCGACATATCAAGAAAATACTTAATAGGCTAATAATAATGTGTTTAATTTTTTGTATTGTTTTAATAATTTCTAATAGGATTCCATTTCCATTTACTTATTGCTGATATAAATGATTATTTTCACTTTTTGAATTAAAATTTTGACAAGTTGGAGATTTTTTTGAAAAAAATTAACTTTTGTGGTAGAAATATGTATAAGCGTTTTAAGTTACGGATACAAAGAAAGCTGTAACTAATGGGACATAAATAGCAATAAAAGCGTTTGAAGCTTTTATTGTGCTTCAGTGCTAATATATTTTTGTTACCCTTAAGCTAGCTCTGGAACGAGCTCTGGACTATGCGTCAAATGCCTTCCAACGTTGGACGCCTGATAGTTGGACACCTAGTCTAACGGTATACAGTAATCAAATGGCGTGTCTCGGGTGGCGATCCTCAACCAATAGTCATTATTTATTTCTTCAATGTTGTCAATGGAAGATGTTCGGACTAGAGTCGATGTTTTTGCTACGCTTCAAAAAGAACCTCAATCAATGGTGGATCATGCCGCTATCACAATCGTGTTTCGTCTAGACAGTTTTTTAACAAAAATCATCTTAAATATGTATTTTTCAGTAATTTAGGATTGATCAGAGTGCGGTACGAAGGAGGTATTTAGATTTTATATAAATATATTTTACTAAGTACTAGTACTTAGGATTTTAGCCGTATTTAAAATCCAATTAAATATACATAGTTTTAAAAGGAAATTAAAAAAAACATTTTGCTGTTTTAAAATGTTAAAGAAGCACAGAATTTACTTAGTTCAAGCTATATAATTATCGGAAAATGTGATAGTTTAACTACAGCAAAAAATATGACGTAAATCAAAATTAACAACAACCATCTAATAGAAATGCCTTTTGATTTTTAGGACAGAAAAATTCAATCATATTTTCATGTTTTCTTTAATTTTCTCTAAAACAGTATGGAAATTTGGAATAGTATAAACGGAATAAACCATTATAGAACAAGCAAAATTTTTCATGAAGAATGCATTATTCTCAAAATGCCAATAATAAAAAAGTTTATACTCTTGTAAAGACACTCCGGGGACATACTGTATATTCGTACCAGGATTAGGATAGAATTTAGAAAAACTCTTTTTTAAAACAGTTTGCTAAAACTTTATTAACACACTCGTGAAAAACTATGTTATTATAAACTTATAATATTAATAAAGCACTTTGGATAGTTTTCTTACCTATTATTTTGAGTAAATTCAAAATATAAATATTAAGTAAAATCAAATAAATAATGTTATAAATATAAAAGTGAAAAATCTTAATGTTACATATATATTTAAAAAAAATAACATAATTTATATTTTAGGATATAATTTAGGCAAAGCATATAATTAAGTAGTAAGGATAAATGGATTTTATTAAATGCTGATCGGATTTCTAGTGAACCTTGTGTACTAGGTAAATGGTGAAATTTAGTATTCTTCTCCTTCATCAGCTTCGCCTTCAATAGAATCGACGGCAACCTAAAAATATTTTGTTTTTAATATTTTGGTAAACCATGTAAATTCAGTTGAAAATTCATACAGATTAATATACGCATTATGTTTTTGGGAATATTAATGAAAAAATGATACTGTGGTATCTATGAAGAAATACGACCCAACTTTAAGAACGTTTTAAACGTGTCAATATCCCCTATACAGTGAGAAATATAAATATGTTTTGATTATTTCCCAAGCAAGTACAAACTAAAGTCTGATCGACACGGTCAAAGTGTACTTAGGTCAAATAAACTTGGGCTGTTTGGACGTTCCAGCTGATTTAAAATCTGTTGATACGATCCAAAGAGCCTCCAAGTGTAAATGTTGGAAAACATTGAGTTTTTGTTACGCTTTAGTTTTGTTGGTTTAATGTGGACTTGGATGCATAATATCTCTATACCGGGTGTTTCTCAAAAGTGACTCACCTCTATAACATTTTGATTTAAACATTGATAAAAAACAGGTTAGGTATATTAGTATATGACATTAATTAGGATTGATTGACGTATTCAATTGTTTTCGGCCTCTTCCTGTTTCCTGTATTACCGGAAATGACTACGATTTTTGATTTTGAAATGACATACTCGGTATTTTTTTTACTTTATTTGATAGAAGATGACATTCTGAACAGAATACCATATCATATATCAATTTTTGACATATTCAATTAATTGAAAAAAATAGCATTTTAAATTTCAATGTCTTCTCCTTCTTGCGGTGCCGTGCCTGTCTGCAGGCGTTGGCGATCTCCATGACTATTTCGTGGAAGAGTTCTCTATCTTCTGCTGCATAAAACAGCCTCTCCACCCGCAGACCGGTCCAGTTCCGTATATTTCTGAGCCATGATAGTTTCTTTGGACCTACCCATCTTCTACCTTCGACTTTTCCTTGAATAATCAAACGAGGAATATAATATTTGGTGCCATGCATTATGTGTCCGAAGTAGTTAACCTTTCTGGCCTTGATGGTGGTTAATAGTTCCCGATCTTTGTTCAGCGGTCCAAAAACTTCCTCGTTGCTTGTATGTTCGGTCCAAGAAATCTTAAGGATTCTCCGGTAGCACCACATTTCAAAGGCTTCTATTTTATTTATATTCTCGACTTTTAGCGTCCATGTCTAGTCGTCCGTAAAGAAGAGTGGATCATATATAACAACGTAATGTTCGCAATCGTGTTTGCAGTGACAGGTTTCTATTAGTGAGCGTTGTATTATATATTTATAGTATTATATATTTCAATTCTTGCTTTTACTTCTTCGTCACATGTATTTTCACTATTTAGCCAGCTTCCTAAATATCTAAAATGTGGTACTTGTTCAATATTGTGTCCGCTGATTTTTATCGGGATTGGATTGGTTTGTATTTTACGCACAAACAACCATTTCGTCTTCTTGATATTTGTATTAATACCCCATTTGCAACTAACTTCATGAACCCTATCTAGCAACGTTTGCAAGTCTTCCATGCTTTCTGCGACAATGGCGGTGTCGTCTTACGTTATTTATGATCTCCAATCCAATTTTCCAATCATCATCCAATTTTAACGCCTTCTATTTTGCCGGATAAAGCCTAGTTAAAAATGTTCTCCGAATACAAGTTGAATAATAACGGTGATAAAACACACCCCTGTCTTAATACCCCATTTGCAACTAACTTCATGAACCCTATCTAGCAACGTTTGCAAGTCTTCCATGCTTTCTGCGACAATGGCGGTGTCGTCTTACGTTATTTATGATCTCCAATCCAATTTTCCAATCATCATCCAATTTTAACGCCTTCTATTTTGCCGGATAAAGCCTAGTTAAAAATGTTCTCCGAATACAAGTTGAATAATAACGGTGATAAAACACACCCCTGTCTTACTCCTCGTTTTATTGGGATGTCATTTGTAGTTCCTTTATCGACCCTAACAGCAGCAGTTTGATCGTAGTACAAGTTTACTAAAAGGCGCATGTCATAGTTGTCTACGTTATACAATTTCAGATGCCGAAAGAGCTCTGTATGTCTGACTCGATCAAATGCTTTTTCAAATTCGATGAAGCACACATATATGTTCTTGCGAAATTCGCAGCACTTTTGCAACAATAGCCTCATGGAAAACAGGGCTTCACGTGTGCCTAGTCCGCTACGAAATCCAAACTGCTCTTTTCCGATGTTCTGTTTACATTTAGCATATATTCGGTTGAGAATTATTTTTAAAAGTATTTTTAACATGTGGCTCATCAGACTAATAAGCCTGAAGTCATCACATTTACTCGCTTTGGTATTCTTGGGTAAGGCAATAAATATCGATCTCTGCCAGTCACCAGGTAATTTCCCACTTTGGTAAACCTGGTTAAAGAATGCTGTCAAGACAGATATACTGTCGTTGTCGAGAAGTTTTATTAGTTCCGCGGGTATTTCATCTGGTCCGGGAGTCTTGTTTGTTTTTGCCTGTTGTATGGCTTTTTCCACTTCCGATTTGAGTATACTTGGACCACACTCTGCTTCATAATCTGCCAATAGTATCTCTGGAGCTTCCCGAGTGTCGTCATCAAATAGTTGTTGTATGTGTCGTTGCCACTCATCACATCGGTCTTCATTTGTCATTAATACTTGTCCACTAGCGTTGTGCAGTACTGATACCAATTTCCTCTTCTGTACACCAGATATTTCTTTCAGCTTTTTATGTAAGTTAAAATCATCGTGTAAGCTTTGAAGGTGTTCGATTTCTCTACAGGATTTCCGAAGCCATGCTTCTTTTGCTTCTTTAATCCTTTTGCGAATTACCCGATGCGTTCGTAAGTACTGGACATGATCGTTGTTCTTATATTTTCTTCTTTCTTCCAGGAGGCCTAATATTTCTTGCGTCATCCACTTCTTTCGTGCTTTTGTTTTTTGGGTTTAATCATTTCATCTATATTTTGATTTCTTAGTGAAACTTTGATATCCTGCCAATTGTCTTCCACGCTTTTGTTTTCAAGTGGTGTTACAATTGTGTACATGTTGCCATTCGCTTCCTGTGATTTTAGAATTTCAATATAAATCTTCCTTCCTGTGATAGGTTCTTTAAAATTTTAATATACATGGCCATAAATGCATCGACAATTTGACTCAATTTTGAAAAATTACTTATGTGGTACCAAATTATTCGTAAAAAATGGTTTTTCCAAATATGCCAATGAACCACCCTTGTTCCATTTGAAAAAGTCAAGTTATGATTAAAAATACGATTTGGACATCTTTTAACTGGCAAGGACCAAAGACGAAAAATATTAGAAGATCAAATCTATTTTTTCAAGGCACTTTAATTACAAAGTATTGTTTTAACACAACCATAGCACTCTAGATTAAAATTTAAAATACGATTTTTTAAGCATGAATGCGAGAAGTTGACATATGATATGTCATTCTGTTCACAGTGTCATTTTCTATCGAATAAAGTAAAAAAAATACCGAGGGTACCATTTAAAAATTAAAAATTGTAGTCACTTCCGGTGAAACTGAAGTGACTGAAAACAATTGAATACGTCAGTCAATCCTGATTTATGTCATATACTAACGTACCAAATCTGGTTTATTTATTTGGAAAAATAAAGAAGTTATAGGGGTGAGCCACTTTTAGAAACACCCGGTATATCGATCGATATGCTTCCCGTGCATAATAAGATATTTACTGCCTATAAATCATGCGTTTTAACCTAACCTAACCTAACCTAACCTAACCTAACTGTCCATTTTAATTATTTATTGTAGAAGAGATTAAAAATTTCAAGTACTAAATTGACGAACATTATGGTTTTACTGATATATGTTATAAAGTGTTAAATAATATTATTTCTAAAAGGTAACATACAAGGTGTTTCAAAAAACATGTGCCCTCTCTCGTAGGGAGATTCTTCACGTAAAAATAAAATTTATTTTTCTTTGCTCTTTCAAACTATATTAGGGTTTCCTATACCTATCTATCTCAGATTTTGAATAAAAAGCGATTTTTAAATAAAATGGCAATCAAGATGGCTGGTATCGTCATGGCAACTTTCTAGTGACAGTAACTATTTTCAAAATCGACATTAGTGTATGGACATTATTATTTAAACAGTTTTCTAAAATTTACCCACAATAGTTTAATAAGTAAGTATTCTTTATTTTATAAAGAAATAAAGCCATATCTGTTGGTGGAACGAATGGATATGTTACTAGTGATTTTATTTTGTGAGGAATTTTATTTCTCGGCCTCAAGAGCTAATGCTCAAAGATATCCAAATAGGAATCTCCCTGATAAGCGTTCCTTTGAAAAACTACTTGTCCTATTTCCTATTTCGCAGAGTTGGTAGTGTAGTTTATAAAAAATCTATTAGGCAGAAATCTGTCGTTGGAAGTGAAGAAATTGAATTTGCCGTAGTAATTGGCTCTTTTATAAAAAAAATCATATATCTACAAGTTATCGTAAAATAAAAAAAAAGTCTATAAACTAATGTCGATTTTGAGAATAGTTACTAACTGTCTCTAGAAAATTGCCATGGCGATACCAGCCATCTTGATTGCCATTTTATTTAAAAATCGCTTTTTATTCAAAATCTGAGATAGATAGGTATAGGAAATCCTAATATAATTTGAAAGAGCATCTGAATCTGCTTCGATTTATTTAAAATAAATATAGGGTGTTGCATTTGAAATAACAAAGTTTTTATGTAAAATAAATCCTTAAAATAGTCAATCACCAACTTTTGGTACCCCTGTATAAATTTAAGGAAGCAATAACATTTTTCAGTAAAGTTTATTTCTTTGCCTTTAAACTCAGTACATGAAATAATTCTGAAAAGTAATGTACAGGGTGTTGATAATCAATTCTCTTGTAGCATGCATATTTAAATACCTTTAAATATCTCAAAAACCAATGATTTTAAACGTATTTAACCCTTATAATAAACGTCTTTTTTGGGCCCAAGAATCCAAAAATGAAATTAAATACCGGGTGTTCCATAAGAAAAAATATAACTTTGGTATGGATCTTAGTTCTGAGACACCCTGTATATTTTAAAATAATTTTAAATTGTGCACATTGACTCCCCACATATACCCATAAAATATTTTGTTTCTACATCTTTCCGTTTTCGTATAATCAACCAAGGCGAATGAGGTGCGCCACCCTGTATATGTCGACACTTTTTTAGCTTTAAGATATGTCGGATTTGTAGTAATTTTTATACTCAACATTTTATTCGAAACGCTACAATCATTTGGAAGAAAATTATAATAAATCGAAAATATTAAGACTTTAACACCCTGCAGCTACGAAACAAAGCAGAATCGGACCTATGTTGATATGAAAAATAAATCTTATTTTTACATGAAGAATCTCCCTACGAGAGATGGTACATGTTTTTTGAAACACCCTGTATAGTATATCTACCTCTTCATAATCTTTCTCCAATGCAGCCAAATCTTCACGAGCTTCTGAAAATTCACCTTCTTCCATGCCCTCTCCGACGTACCAATGGACAAAAGCTCTCTTGGCGTACATAAGGTCGAATTTGTGGTCCAGTCTTGCCCAGGCTTCTGCAATGGCAGTAGTGTTCGATAACATGCATACAGCACGTTGAACTTTAGCAAGATCACCTCCTATTAAGAAAAACAAATTATTAAATAAACAAAATACGAGAAGCGCCAAAAAATAAAAAAATATATTAAATGTTGGTCTAAAGCAGAAATGAAAAAGTAAATTGCCAAGATTAATTAGAGGATTTAAAGAAAAAATAAATGATTTATATTAAGACCTCCAGTTATATTTTTCTGGACTGTAGGTGTAGTACCTATTTAATTATTTTTTTATCTTCAGGTTATCATTTTGCCCGATGATTTGTTATCTTAGCACGAGATCGGAAAGAGCTGATATCGGTTACCAAGACTAGAAAATCAAGCGCAAAAAGTAGGCTTAGTGTTTAGGTTAGGTTAGGTTAGGGTAGGTATGAGAAGAAAACGAAATTTATGGAGTGGTCAGATAGGGATTTGAGAAGGGAAGATGTCTACAATTGAATTCTGAGAGAGGTAAACGATACAAATTTGAGAAAGTAGATACATCACATATCTAGGCCGTATTTCTAAGGAATCCAAATGTAACTCAAGAAATTATGGCAAGAATAATGGTGGGAAATAGATGTGTCAGCGCATTACAGAAAATTATTGAGAGTAAGAACATTTCTAGAAGTTTAAAAATCAGAATGTACCAAACAATGATCAGACCGATAGTGCTGTGTATGCATGTGAAACATGGACGTTCAATGCAACGGGAAGTTCGAGGCTAGAGATTTGGGAAAGAAAAATACTGAGGAAGTTTTTTGGAGGAAAGAAGATACACAACATATGGACCAGAAGAACAAATGAAGAATTAAAGCAACTATATCGGGCACTGAGTATAACGGGAGTAGCAAGAGCACAAAGGTTAGGATGGCTGGGACACATTCAAAGAATGGCTGAAGCAAGAATTCCTAGTATGATAATGAACCGTGAAATGTAGAGGAGGACTTGAGAAGGATAAGAGTGGATGGGTGGAGAATAAAGGCAAAAGACAGAAACAAATGGAGAAAGATAACCAATCAAGCCGTGAGCCTTTTAGGCTTTTAGTTTGGTTTGGTTTGGTTATTATATATCATTTGTAAAGAACTACGAAAATACACAAACATTATTATACACAATATGTAGCGCACAGATTGCTTTGAGCAAAATAATGTTCTCAAAATATGTATTTTAATGTAATACGTATTCTCAAAACAATATTAAAAATGTTGATGAAGTGTTATTTTCCAAAAAGATGCTTTTATTATTATGCGCAATTAAAATCTGAAGACTATTAGGTTACTATTAATATGTATGTTTCCCACAGTGAATCTGTAATAATTGGAATTAAAATATTCCACGTTTTTCAAAACCTTGTATTATATAATGTATTTTAGAGACAACCCCATTATATTTTTTTAACTAGTCATATAAAAATGTTTAAGAATTTTGTATAAATTATTCTATAACTTACCTGGAACGACTGTTGGCGGTTGATAATTAATACCAACTTTAAAACCAGTCGGACACCAATCTACAAACTGGATAGTTCTTTTGGTCTTGATTGTGGCAATAGCGGCATTTACATCTTTAGGAACAACGTCTCCCCTATAAATTAAAGTAGCATTATTTTTTAATCAACACATTTACATAAAACGGAAACATGAATACATTTATACAATATTATAGTAAGTATTGCAGTTCAAAAGAGTATGATAAATATAGAACTATAAACTTTAATCAACCAACCAATATAAACCATCAACCTCACAACTTTTGGGTAAATTCCGGTAAATTCTTATCATTTGGGCGAGGTTTCATAAAATATTCATAAGTTTCATGAGAACCGCTGCGACTGCTTAACAATGTTTAATAATTGTAGTTTTAAGGTACCCAGAACCGGACGATACTACGAGAACTTCTAGAAAAATTTAGATCATTAATATCCAGCTCTGATCCAAGATTATTTCAGAAATGTTTTGACAATATCCAAAAACAAAATTAGATTGTGTACAATTGTTTTATACACCTTAGGACTTGGAGAGGGAAGCAAGGCAATTTTATCGTTGGAATATCCAACTAGCCAACTTAGGAAAACGGTGGAAAACGATGTTAAGAAAAATCTCCTTAGGGAAAGCGAGTGTGATATACAAACTTAACTGCTTCTTAATTGGTCATTTTATTTGTATATTAAGTTAAACCACGTTAAACTAATAAATTAGATTAGTTTTTATCCGATTAATAAAGAATTGGATTTTACACGTTGATCCTTCAAAGTCAATCAACTTAACGTTTTTTAAAGAAACCCTTTTTCAATAAAAGCATTATAACGACACCCTTCTAATCTATTGTTACGTAATTCTTAGTGTAAACCTGTGTAAACTAAAAAAGCAAAAACATTTTACAGAGCATTTAGCATAATATGATCCTTCTTTTCTTGTAGAAAGGTGAGAACTTTTTCTAAATTTGCAATTTTATTACTACCAAGTTCTGAAATTAATTAATATCAATTAAAACAAGAAATAAATATACCCTTTAAATATTTTTGGTGTATTATACACTTGATATTAAAAATAAACATTTCGTATAATAGAGTAGAGAATAAAAATACTTGACTTCCAGGAACTTCTTTAGCCATTCCGTAAAAAACTATGTAAAACTTGGAAAATAAGTTGGTTATAATAATGGTTTTATAATTCGGAAACCCTCTATTTATTTATCTAGTAATGCTAAAACACTCTATTTTAAAGTCGATTAGAGAAAATAGTATGATTCATTGGCAAGTAATGTAAATATTTACGATCCGGTAAAATTGTGATGTAAGAGGAGGCTTAGCTTGCCTGAGGCGAATCAGTAGTTCTTAGGCCGGCAGGCTGTTGTGTTGTGTTTTGTCATAGAGCTGATATTTGGGGGTTGAGAGTCTTTTGACTATAAACGTTGCAAGTACTGTAAGGCAACGGGTCGTTTGACCGGAAGAAAACCTCTGGTGACGTCTTTCCTTCGAGGTTGGTCTTGAGAGTTTGAGGTCTACCTTGTCTTCTCGATTGACACAATGCGGCGTTGGGGTAGAGAGACTAGTGAGGTACCCCAATTAGCTTATTCGATTGGGATGCGAATCTGTTTAGCGGCAGAATTGCGTTCGGGGGAAGCCCCTATACTATTTCAGGTGACACTAGCTAGTTGTTGAAGATGATTAACCAATATATAACCGAATGATATTTGAATTAGATGGAAAATATGGAATGGGATATATTGAATAGAATATATCAGTGGCTAGGGGGCGGAGTACCCCCGGGTGAGTCTAACTATTTAACTATCAATTTTATCCAGATCAGTAAATGTTTGTTTTGTTATTTTCATGTACAATGAGAGAGTGCTTGCCAATGACCAACTAAATGGATATTTGAGGTGAATTTGCTTGTGAGACCCGGTTGAGTAAGCCCCAGAAATAAGCGATTTTACATTCAGGTGTGGGGTCAAGCAATCGGTTCACTAAAAATATCCTTGGCATAACAATATTATTTACTTATATTGAACATTATTATTGTTTTGTTGACTTTCATGCATTTTTGAAATAATTTAGCATTACTAGAGCGTTCGTCAGATTAGTAGAAAGTACATTAAATAGCCTGGTTCCATCACTGATTAGCAGGTTTTACATATATACATGTTATCGACGCCTATGATCCTTATGATAGGCAGTCATTTTCACGCCGTGCCTGCACCCCGTGTCCGCTGATGTTGGCGAGTAGCGGAGAAGTAGGCTTTGGAAACAGTTGAATGTCAGAGTTTGTTGATTTTCGGCCCAGAGAAGACATTGTTTGTCAAGCTAGTTAGAATTATATTTTTAAATATCAATTTCTGTTAAATATATTAATCTCCCGATTACATCAGAAGTGGCGATGAGTTTAATCCAGCGTTCTTAGGCCGTAACGGCGTATTTCTGACTTACTGACGACTATTGACTTGACTTTGACCTTTGAGACTATCGTTTTGTAAAGGCGTCGCGTCGCGTCGGTTTCGAGGATCTATTCGGTTGTCTCAGATACGGGTACCCGTCGACGTCGGATTTCGGATACCGTCGTCGGATCGGCGAAACGCGAAAAAAAAAACCGGAGGGATCATTCTGCTAGCTCTAGTGCTCGAAAATATTAGCGGAAAAAAATGGAGTGCTGGAAAGAAGCGTCATATCACCCCTACAAGTTACAGACTCCGGAAGATAACAGGAAAAGGTAGTGAGCCAACACATTATCTGAACAAATCTCTTCTGAAAGGTATTTTAAAAATGACTAGAAAAAAAAATCGAGATAAATTCTAAAGTAATTAAAATTCTAAGGTAGTATTTTTATACAGTAAAAATTGTTGCCATGGAGACAGATTTGAGTTTAAAGTAATTGTTCGGATTTTTGGATTTCGGATTTCGGTGATATAAATCGCCTTGTGGTTCAAGAGATCTCGAAGAGAGGGCGCTACTGTAGTCGGTTGATAAGGGTCGATTTCGCTTGCGAAAGAAGTAGTGGTGGAGAACTATCGATAGTCACGGCCATCGATAGTTATCGATATTCACACATTCGACTATCGATAACTATCGATTGTTTTCGATAGTTTTGACTAACATAAATTTGTTAGTTATCTATGAAAGCAGTACGAATTCGGTACTGTTTTATTGAAAACGGTAATTTCATACCGTTTTTAACAAACAATACGAATTTCGTACAGTTTTTTTAAATTAAAGACAGTACGAATTTCCTACCGTTTTTAATTAAAAAAAAGTATTTAAAAGTATCGAAAATTATCATCTCTATTAAAATTATTTGTTTTTTTTTAATAAAATAATAGATTTATAAAATAATCAAAACCAATATTTTTATTTAACTAATTATTTACATTTCCGACTATGCATTCATTCTTGTTCAGAAATGTTAATATCTCAACATTGTTTGCCTTTAATCTTGATCTTCTCTCTGTTATTAAATTGCCTGTGGTGCTGAAAGTCTTCTCAGATTCCACAGATGATGCTGGAATATACAGGTATTTTTTGCTACATTCTTCCAGTCTCCAGTGGGTGTAAATCCCTTCCATTTACCTGTAAAAAGTAAGAACAAAACTTTTTAATATTATGACAAAAAAATATTTTTATCAATTCCAGAACAGAAGAGGATCATCATTTTGAGTTGCAATTTGTTTCTCAAATACTGACGTTTGATGATGAATGCATCTGCAGTTGTTGATTTAATTTTCCGGCAAATCTTTCTTCAATAAAAGAAAATAATGGATTTCCACTGCTGCTGGTTGTAGTAGTGCTTGTAGGTACTGCTCGTAGCCAGTTCTGTCATCTCTAAATCTGGATTCTGTGGGATCTGCTTCCCCCTCTTTTTTCAAAATGTGGACCATTTCCTGCTCCATTTATGCTGCACATTCTGCATTCTCATTGCTTCTGAAACCTTCCTTTTTAAATCGAGGATCCATCACATGCAAAGTGGGGGGATTTAATGCTTTTAGAAATGCATTATGTTTTGTTCATAAAATTTACTTACTGCTACGACGACTGTTCGGACTGTCTTCCTTTTTCCTTTTTATGTTTAAAAATTTATCCATTTTAAACTTTCTTTATGAAAAAACAACACAGTATTTTACAATAACGTTTTCCAACACAATATTCAATAACCTTTCATCAAATAACAAAAATAACGTTGGCCAACAACAAAAACCAAATACGTTTAAATAAAATATACGACGGCCTCCACATAAGAGCAATGAGAGGATTTACGCCCCAGTATTGAAGGAGGACAAAAAATCGAGTCGAATGGTTTCAAGACATAGGTTCATCCTTGTTTAGTCAAACCTCCTACAACACAAGGATAGACTTATGTAGGAAATGCATTGAAATTCTATAGCCATCCTTCAATATCGGTACAGGAATTTAAGCGGTACCCTCCGTATACTTTGTCTTGTCTCGGTTTTGGCTTTGCTACTGGGCAATTGATTTTAAACGTATTTGACAAAAACACATATTTATAACCTCAATCTAAGTAGAGATGTGTTACAAACGAACTATCGCAAAATATCGATAGCCTCCAAATACTATCGATTGTTTTCGATAGTGAAAAATATCGATAGTTATCGATAGCGCCATCGATAGTTCTCCATCACTAGAAAGAAGATGGATGCGAACCTCGGCATAAACAGACAGTTTTTCACGTAAAAAGTAAAATGTTATTGTTAAAATTAAAAGTTAAATAAATATCTATCTATGGTCCTCCTGAGGAATAAAATTTCTAGAGTTGTGTTATTTAGTATATTAGTTATGTTGAATATGTGTTATTTTATTCTCATTAAACTTCTTGATCAAGCCGAAACGTGGAACAGTGGTTTTCAAACATGATTTTTATTTTCTGTGCGTTGATATATTTTGTTGAGCTTTTTAATTAAAAATATTAAACAAAAATCGAACAGTAATTTAATAATTTCATTGTTTATTGCGTAATAAAAAATATATCAAGTACCTATATACAGGTATATGCAAGACATTTTATGTGGAAAGGTAAAAAAAAGTCTTCAAAAGTTTTTCAGTTTTTCAGAGGTACCTCTATAGATTGTTTCATAAA